GGCAACGGAATCGCAACCCTCCGTGTCGCACCCGCACCTCGCTCAGCCAGTGAGCGGGAACCGATTTGTATGTGGGATCCGAACCCTCGGCGGGAGCGCCACCGCGCTCCCAAGCAGCGCACTGTAGCAGTGCGCCACCGGGCCGGCCTCCCTGTGATTTTTCTTTTAACACATTGTTTATTTAGAAGAGTGTTGTTTAATTTCCACACATTAGTGAATTTTCTAAATTTCCTTCTGTTATTGTGGTCAGAGAACACACTTTCTAAGATCTTAGTCTTTTTAAATGTATTAAGACTTGTTTTGAGGCCATAAATAAATATATTTTTAAAAGGTTCTCAAATGGGCCGATGGAAAGCTTGGCCAATAATGCACCAGAGCACCACCAAACTGCCCGCACGGTCAGACTCCCTGCTGATGAGCTACCCTCAACGCCAGCACACAGGTCCAGCCCAGGAGACCCAGGGGCTGCACTGGGAGATCCTGATGTTAGCAAGTTCCTCCGTCCTGTTGACCCTGTGCATTAGAAGACAACTGAAAGGTACACCAGGGCGACAGTGGCCTAAACCCCAACAAGAGTGTCAGCCCAACAATACTGCTACCCTGACCCTTCTTTCTCCACCCCGACCCTCCCCCTACAGTGTCCCCAGAGGGCCTTGCTCAGGCCCTGCCCTCACAGCAGGACATGGAGGCACCTTTCTGGGCACTCCTAGAGCTCCTCTCTCCTGGTCAAGGTCTGCCTCACCCCAGCAACAGCTCGCTGTGGCTGACCTCTCTGCTGCCCTCACCCCCGACCTGTGCTGTCCACTGTTCACATGTGCAAAAATGGACGCACAAGGGAATTGCTGCTCCCCAGGCCAAAAACCTCAGTGGTCCTGCCTCCCACAGCTCTGCCAGGGCTATGCCTGGGGACTGCCACAAGGAGGTCTTCCAAATCCAAACCACAGTTTCATGGGGTTTCCTACTGCTAGACCAGAACGGCATCATGTAGCAGTAAGGCTGGGACACAAGCGGCCACGAGGCTTACTGGCATCCTACCCAGACTAGCGAGCTAAAAACAAGAGTGAAATCATAACTCCAATTTTAAAAGCCATATGTGTGAGGCAAGTGAGTGTGGTGTGAGGCAAGTGAGTGTGTTGGGAACTGCACAGATGTAGGTACTTGTCCCAGCTCTGCTACTCTAACAGGCATAAGATCCCTACAAGTCCAGATGGCCCTCAGTTTCACCACCTGGACTCAAAAGTGCTTTCAAATATGCCATCTTCCTTATCAGTGGGACAGAACCCCTGGGCTCCTAGGATCCACTCAGGATCCCTCAGCAGCCCTGGGGCTGCTCAGCCTCATGATTCAGGAAGTGGCTGGCAGCAGCTGTGCTCAACTGGGCACTTGGCCACCAGGTCCCCATCACATCACCACTTCCCAAAACAAATGTGAAAGCTCAAGTCGTCAAAGACCCCAGCTGCACATCTTCCTGGAAGGACAGGACAGGGAATGGACTTCACGAGTGGGGAGCCTATGAGGACTACACATCTGCCGCAGAGTGCCAGGGTGGAGCTCCAGCCCACTGTAAGCAGCTCCTTGTAATGCAGCCCCCAGCCAGACCCTCTCCCTGGGGCTCAGTGGAGGAAGAGGCATGCCCCAAAGGGGTCATTGCAGTTACAAAAAACCTTCCTGGCGCTGAGCCAAACCTGCTTGACAGCATCTCACAAATTCTCATCAGTCACGAATGTCCTTGGAGCAGGTTGGTGACAACTGAGCCTCCAGGGATTTCTCTCCTGGGGATGAAGCAAAACAGTCCCCGCTCCTGACCACAGATCTCCATAAGCACTAGATATTCAGTCCAGCTGGCAGGCTCTGTATTTTAACCAACTGCCCAAATTAAGGCTGCTCAACTGCACTATCCTCCCTTAAGAAGCCAACATTAGCTGAATTTGAATAACCGCAAACCTAAGGGCAGAAACAGTCCTGACAAAGAGCCACAGCAAACTCTGGCAGACCTCTGTCCCAAGGTTTCTGGCTTGGGGCACAGAGGGCAAGCTGGGCTTTGCTCAGGGTAAATAAGGCTATCTCCAGCAGCCCTGCCCTACACATGCTCCACTTGCACCCCTACATCAACCCTAGACCAAACTCTTCAATCACAATGCTGCCTCAGCATCATTAGTAAGGTGCCCCAAAGAAAGCCCTCTCAATGCAGAAACCCCACACCACAGATGGGGCAAGGGAATAAGGCCAGATCTGTCCTTGTTGGGAACCTTTAAATCAGGGCCACCTGTAAAATCTAGCACTGTGCAGCCACCACCAGCTGGGAGTGCATGATTGTCTCACCACGGGGTCTTGAAGAAAAGGAGGGTGGGGAGAGAAGTAGTATTTTCTAGAAAGAGGTAAGGATTAAAGCAAATGCAGGGACAGGGCCGAGTCAGAGCAACCCTGGGCAACTCCTGCCCTCCTGAATCAGTCTGCAGATCCCTGAGCAAGCCAGGCCCAGGAGCTCCCACCCCTGGCACCTACAGTGCCCCACAGTGGGGCTGGGTGTTATGGGTATCCCAGGAGGAAGAACCCTAAAATCTGTGGCAAATCAATCCTAAGTTTCTGTATTTGATAGGGAGTTTGTGGGACTGGGAGGAGAAAAAAATTTGAGCATCATATCCTGCCTTTCATGACTATCCATGACCTTCATCTGAGCTGCATCCTGGGAGACAGAGGCAGGGCCTACTTACCTTCACCATCACCCAACTCTCCAAGTACCTTATAAGACCCAGCCTGCCTCTCTTGGTCTCCTAACTTGTTTCATGCTGTCTTCAGCTCTGTTGACCTCCCCATGGAGTCCCCCACTTCCCAGGCCATGAACCCCAGGAGGTAGGACCATGACATCCATTTTGTATCCCTGGAGGCCTGCCCAATGAGCTGGGGAGCAGAAAATGAGCAGACAAACAGATGGCAAAATGAACAGATGTTAGCTCATTTCTTTCTTTCTTTTTTTTCTTTAAAAAAAAGATGACTGATAAGGGGATCTTGGGCCGGCCCGGTGGCACACTGGAGAGTCGGCACTCCCGCCGAGGGTTCGGATCCCATGTGGAGACCGGTTCCCGCTCACTGGCTGAGCACGGTGCGGGCGCAACACCGAGGGCTGCGATCCCGTTGCCGGTCCCTGGTATGGGCGCGACACTGAGGGTTGCGATCCCGTTACCGGTCAGTAAAAAAGACAAAAAGGAAAAAAACAAACAAACAAAAAAAGATGACTGATAAGGGGATCTTAACCCTTGACTTGGTGTTGTCAGCACCACAGTCTCCCAAGTGAGCCACAGGCCGGCCCTCATTTCTCTTTCTTCTCCCATCCTCTGGGCACTGTGAACTTGGTGTTCTGAAGAAGAAATGGCCTAGTGATTCCATGGAGTCATTTCCGGTCTCCACACCCCCAAACGATCAGGTGTCCCTCAGCCTAGTTCCCACATTTCCAGGTTTAACAGCAGACAGCATAAGGAGATGCTCTGTGGTTCCCATTTCACTTCTCAGGGAGAATGATGTCAATAGGTTTTCCCTTACGTGCTGAATGCTGTGCCCGAACACTGTTAATGACATTTTAGATACCACATTCAAGTGTTCTTAGGCTAAGAGGTAAGTCAGCCCCCAAAGAGGTGACCACTTGATATGCATCTGTTTGCATGTTGTTTTTCTTTCTGCGGGGAGGAAAGGAGGTAGCTGCATTCACATGGATTTCAAATGCCTTCCTGGTTACACATCAATCTGAATAACTGACCTGCCCAAGGACTTACAAAGGTGGCTCCCCAATAGGCTCACACTAGGGCTGACAGTCACCCCAGCCCAGCCCGGCTGCATGTTATACCTGGATGTGCTGGCCTGCTGGTCCTGCGCACTAGACATGTCTCTGATAGGGAAGACAAGGGGTCACCAAAAGGCTGGGGGCAGCAAGCAGGTTCCAGGCCCCAAGGATGTAGAAGAAAAGGCCGAAGTCTCCATCCCCCAGCCATGGCCAAACAGCCCCCACCTGCCCTGAGATGGCAGTAGAACCCTGAACAACAGCTCAGAGAGCCCTAGGCCAGACATCCCACACCTGGCTGCTGGCCCAAGACACATGAACACCCCAGGCCTCCTTCAGCCCTCAGGGGCCCATCCCCACTCTTTATCCTGTCTGCTCACAGATGGAGAAGAGGACAAACTTAAAATCTCTGGACTCCATGGCTCCTGCCCCACTTGGGTGTGGTGACTATGTCCCAGCCAGAAACATTCTGATGACTGCTCTGCTCAACAGGAGACAGGTCAGCCACAACTTCCTAGTGAGGGTATGTATGAGAGGCCAAAACACAGGCCAGCTGCTGGGGAGAGCCAGATGCGGCCCACTCCCCAAAGCCAGCCCACAGAGGCACACTAGCCACTACCCACTCAGGTAGTACAGGGCACCGGATGCTTTGAAGTGCGCTCAGAGAGGCCTCTGGCCCCTTGATTCAATTCCAAAAATTCTCAAACAAAAAATATGCAGGAGATTTCCCTCCTTTGGTCTGGCATCTGCAAGACATCTTCGGTTGTCTCTTTCTGTAGAAGCATTGATGTTTGCCCGCCTCAGGACCCCCAGGAGACCCCAGTGTCAACTCAGGGCATACGTTCCAGGGCTCTACTCAACCACTGGACCAAGGAATGCCTGAGGCCTTTAGGAGACAAATTCCATTCAGCCCCCCGGGGGGGACTTTGCCAACCATGCCCTAATGCATCCCCCTGACCCTCCACCCAAGTTAACTACCATACTTGCTTCTCAGCTGCACCAGTTCCATGCACAGTGACCTGCCCAAGTCACAGGGAAAGGGTTCCATCCATCTTCCTGAGGGTCATGCAGGTGGCAAACCCATTTCTGCATCTCGCCCCACTGCCCAAGCTTGTCAGGGGACCACAGTGGGTTTCAGAGGAAGGCCACCTCAGGTGAATTCCAGCCCTGCATGGGCCTTAAGGTGGCATTTCTGCCCCACTCCACTGAGGCCAACACCCCTCACCTGATGCCCGTGGAGCGTGTACAGCAGCCGGCCCTCCATCAGGTCCAGGATCTTCAGGGTTGAGTCACTGGAAGCTGTGATCAGGTAGTTTCCAGACGGGTGAAAGGAGAGGGCGTTCACTGCTGCGCTGTGCACTGGGGGAAGGACATCAGTCAGGTGCTGGCTGAGGTAGGCAAACGGGGCCAATCAAGATTCAGCACAGGCCTGATGGGGCTGGGCTGGGGTACCCATTGCTCGGAAGTATTGCGGGGAAGCTCACAAGGGTTTCCCAGCAGAGTGGCATAATCAAAGGACAGGAGAAGACTCATCCAGAGCCAAGGGCAGGCAGGGAGACACAAGGCAGGAGGAAACAGATGTGGCAAGCCAGAGGAATCAAACAATTCCTTCACCCTCTCCCACAACACCAAGCAGTTGAGCCGGAGCAGAATAGAGCACTCAAACACAGCCTTTAATTCGTCTTGCATACTGTTACTTTAGGGAAACCAAATGGAAAACAAAACCACTGAAATGCCTGTACGAAGCTGCTGCCCTATGGGAGAGGAAGTATGTGGGTGCAGGCAGGCAGACAGCTAAGACACTCACTCCCAGGAGACAGTCGGGCCTGGGTTTCAATCCCAGCCTCCCCACTGGCTCACCTTGTGACCTTGCGCAGCCACCCTGACTACACTGAGCCTCAACTTCTCCATCTGTACCATAGCAGTCACACGTTAGGGGGTAAGCCCACGAGGCCTTTGTACTGCGTAAGCCTCAGACCCCAGTGCCAGTGAGATATCCCTCTCCTCTGCACCCTGCATCCCATGCAACTCCAGGTCCTGCCATTTTACCAACTCAACAGCTTGGCCCTGTCCATAACTTTCTTTTCCCCACTGTCCCCACCCAAGCCTCACCATCTGTCCTGGTGTCCCTCATTTACCAAGACCTTGCCACACCAGGTCTGTCAGCTTCCCCAGCCGTGGAACCTTTGCACCCCTTGTTCCCAATGGCCCTAGGAGACTCTTGCCCTCCTCTTGACCTGACCTTAAAGCTCACCACTCAGAGTCACCTCCTCTAGGAAGCTTCCCCAACCTTCCCATTAGAGCCACCTCCTTCATTTGTCTTTCCAAAGCACTGCAGCCTCCCATCAGTTCACTCTTCACATTTATGAGACTACAAGCTCTATCAGCCAGGGGCTGTGTTAAGTCTCTGGCTCCTGGCTCTGTACTGACACCAAGCAGCACTCAGAAAGTGGCTGGTGAGCAGGTGATTGGGCTAGGTTCCAGAAGCCCCAGCGGGCTATACAGCCCACCCTAAAAGCCAAGGGCATGTTTTGGGTGGAGCCAAGGAAGACCCAGGCAGTGCACATGGCGGCAGAGCAATTCCACAGGCAACACATAGACCAGCTCTTAGAGTGGCTACTGAGAAAGACTCAGGTGCCTTTGTGCCCATTACCACAGGCCTGGTGAGGGAAGCCAAGGGGCTAAAATAATCATGACCCAGCCAAGTCAGAACTGCCACAAACATATAGACAAACATGAAAACCAACCCTTCACGCTGGCACTGAGAGGCTGCAGGGACCACTGCTGGATCAGTAGATACACCCACCACAAAACTGCCCTCAGCAGAGCCCACAGGGGTGCTATAAGCCCCTCAGATACCAGCCCAACTGTTGTGCTGGTGTGCTAGGGAGTGTGGATACATATTCCCAAGAACACTTAGGAGAGACAGCCAAGGCTTTATGTAACATGGTATTTATATCTGAACAATACCCTCCAAGTGCCAGGAACTCCAGGAGGCAGCTTGGAGAGGGGCTGATGGGGTCTCTGCAGCCAGCTCCTGGAGTCAGAATACAGAGACCTCACAGCCTGCACTGGGATGAAGGCCGCCCCCACCCCCACCTGAGACGAGACTGGCAGAGGAGCAGCCAGTGACAGGAGGATGGTGCAAGGAAGGGTGTGCTTGGGGAGCCCAGGGCTTCCCCAACACCACCAGGGTGGCGGGGTTAGTGTGTGGATGCTACACCAGGGCCTCCCACCTGGTCAAGTCCACCCAAGGGAGGGAATCTCCCCTGGAGGAAGGGCAACAGAAGACCCACTCCACTATAAATGCCAGGAATACCAAAGGCCTCCTGGCTGGGGTGGAAACACCGAGAGCCGTTTATTCCAGGAGAGGGCTCAGCCTGGCATGCCAGGCTTTTGGGGATGCCTCAGACACCAGGACCCAAATGGCCTTCCCCCACTTGCTCTCCTGCCTTGTCCACTGGCCACACCAGCCTCTGCTCTCACACCTCTCTGCCTCTGTGGAGGTTGTAGGGAGGAGGCAATCTAGGGAGGCCTCATCATAAGAACCATCCCTATATAATAGTCCCCCATGAGGGCTTGGCTGCACACGAGGGGGTGAGCCTCCCATCATGATGCCCTGAGCAGTGAGAGTCCAAGAATGATCCACTTTTCATCAAGTCCAAAGCTGCAGGCCCTCTTCTTGGCTCCCTGGCGTATATCAGTGACAACAGAGAATGCCATTTGAGTGGCAGCTGTGAGTTCCTGGCTAATTATCCCCCCAATTGCACCCCAAAGAGGGAACTACAACTCAGGGTTAGAAACACATCAGCGTCAAACTATGCAGGTCACCAGAAGCCCAGGGAGGTGGGACGAGGCCACCGCAGCCCCTGCCCCCAAGTGCAGGAACTGGTCATGGCTCACAAGCAGCCTAAAGAGAGACCTGAGTACCCACAATCCAATCTGCCCACATTGCTCTTAGTGTAGAGGCCATTAGCAAACCTGGGTCCACTGCCCAAAGGGCTCTAAACTGGCCAAGGGGCCCAGAGAAAGCCTGGGTGCTCAAGTAGGTGGTACTTTTCTGGGGCAGACATATCAGAGCCAAGCCACACCCCAACATCCTGCCACAAAGAGATCAGCTCACTTTGCCCAGGGTGGCTTCTCATGATGCACAACTGGCATTACCAGTGATACAGCAGCTCTGAGTTTCCAAGGAGCTTTGGAGTCATACAATGAAGGTGCTCTGATACCAGCAGTGAAGGACACCCAAGATATTCTTTGCAAATGTCATGTAAATGCTCACTTCAGGATGATGGGAAGGAGCCGGGTATGTTGGCTGGATGAGGTGGGACAGCACACTGTATCCCCATCGACCCTTTGATACTTTCAATCTCAAAACACCCAGTAAAGAGTGCAGGACTGCCTGCTGCATATTCAGCCACTTAAAAACCCTCCATGACCATGTCTGGGGTAAGGTGGGGGTGCAGGGGTACACGAAGGACCAGTGGACAGAGTACCTGGGATTCTGAGTTCTAATCCAGGCTTCTGTAGAAGGCCAGGCCAAGACCTGCTGAAAGCCAGCCAAGGAGACCACCTCTCTCCAGGACCTTGGGAAATAAATGACTAATCATCACAGTACCAGGTATCCAGCATGGGATGGTGGACCGAATGCCAAACTTGGAGGCCCTGAGATGGAGACCCAGGTTCATATCTTCGCCTCTACATGACCATGAGAAAGCCTCACACTCTCCATCTGTGCAATGGGGAGTAGCAATGCCTAACTGGCCACTCAGGCCTGTCACTAGACAGTTGATCTGCACATTCTGTAAACCACAAGCACATTATCGTTGCAGGATGGGGGTTGCTGCTCAGATGTTTGAACAGTCTTAACGTGGGTTCAGAGCATATGGAGCCTAGCCCACTCCACAGGGATTGGCACTCCCAGGGCTCCACCGGCCCATCAACTCCTTGCTGAATTGGGAAATCAGAACTGCTCCCTACAGTGACAGGCCAGAGCCAAGAAACTCCTTGCCCAAGAGGAGAGTCAGCCAGCCTGAGACAAATGGCACCAGCTGCCTGCTGTAGCCCAAAGAACCAGGCAAGCTTCAACTCCAACAACCCAAGCCAAGACAGGAAGTGCTCTCCACAGAGCACAGCCATGGGGCGGCAGGACACAGGCAGGCTGGGGCTTGCTAGCCACACACTGCAATTACCAATATCTCAGAAAAGCCCATCAGCCTCACACACCTGAAGGCCACTCCAGAAGTGCTTGGTGCTCATCCAGAGCCACCAAGGGAGACACTGGATGTCACTGTGTCCTTAAAAACTTCCCCTGGGTTTCCCAGGTATCAGGGATGAAAAACAAATCAGGTATCTGCTGCCAGAGTACTGGGACCCCTTCTTGGGGAACCAGCCTCCAAAGAGATCCCAGTGTATCTGTGGTCAGGGAGGAGTCCCTTGGGAAGAGGGATTTAGCCACAGAGCTCTCCGGGGAGTCACTAGTTCTAAGCAGAGCTGGCCAGGTCCCTCCATCAGCAGAGGGTGAGAGGTATGTCCCCTTCTCCCACAGTGAGCTTATATTAACTCAGTTCATTGAGCCTCTCAGGATGAGCCTAGAAGCTACGGAATGAGTTTGCTAACCTGTGAACACCATGGCATTGGGCAGGGAACTCAGGGAGGACCAGGTTCTGTTTATGGGGCACTCCAAGTCCTTCTAAGCCTCCGATCTACACTAGGGATGGCTTAGGAACAAGACACTGCAGCCTTGCTGAGTAGCTCCGTAATGAGAGGCAAGGACTACAAAAAACACAGACTGGGGCCGACCCTATGGCGCACTTGGGAGAGTGCGGCGCTGGGAGCGCAACAACGCTCCCGCCACGGATTCGGATCCTATATAGGAATGGCCGGTGCGCTCACTGGCTGAGCCGCGGTGCGGGCGACACCACACCAAGGGTTGCAATCCCCTTACCGGTCATGAAAAAGACAAAAAAAAAAAACACACACAGACTGAAATCTCTCAGTGGAGCCTATCAACCTCACGTGCTCAGGTCCACTCAGGACTTGGTCCCCTTTGCTCATCTGAGTCCACCCACACCTCCCCTGGCACTGCCATCACTGAGCTCCAGCCCTGTCCACTGCCAAGCCTGCTCCCTCAAGAACCGCAGGGCCCTCTGCCCAGCACCCACCACTCCTCAACTGCTCTACATCGCTTCTTCTCCTGACCACGCTCTTCACGAGCCCCCACTCTCCTTCACTCCCCGGGCTCTGCCCTCCTTAGCCCTCCATGCTGGAAGATGTTGCTCATACCCCCCACTCTGGCTGCTTTGTGGACCTTTTTCTTCCAAGGCCCTTCAATGGTAGGGGCCCAGAATGTGGCCTCAGCCGTTTTCCACATCTGAGGCCCCTGGGCCCAGCTGGCCCCTCTTCCCCGACAGCAGAAGCTTCTGCTCCTACTCAATCTCCAAAACCCACTCCTTGGGCCTGACCCCTCCCCCACTGATGGTCTTTGACACTGGGCTCAGACAGCACATCCACAAATCACCAGGGTGCACCAGCCCCCCACCCAAGCAGTATTTCAACACCGCTATCCTCTCAGATTTCCTTTATCTCTTTGCTCCTGCATACGGAGCCAGTCCCAACATGGCCCATCAGGCACATCTTTGGTACCCTCAGCCACAAATGGCATTCAAGGTCCTCCTCAATGGGTAGCTGCTGCTGCATCCTGTGAACACCAGGCCCAGGCTCCTGAGAGATGGGCCTGGACCCTCCCAGGGTCACCCAGAGATCCTCTCCTCCCAGTGCCAAGACTTATGTGGTACAAACCACATACCCAGCCCTGTATTATAATCCTTACATGAATTCTCCCATCAGATCCTCACATGCCCCATGGGGAAGGCCCTGTTATCACCTGTTATCACCTGTGGAGTATACTAACATTAATAAAACAAATGTATTTCACAGGGCCTAGCTTCCAAAGCCTTGTAGTTTCAGGTTTAGCCTAACTTTTTAAAATTACACATAGAAATGTTAAGCTTGCAAAAGACAGGAAACTTTCCCCAGGCTAAAGTCTCTACTGTAGATAAAGAATTGTAACACAGCAAAATTGCTGGCTCAAGGACAGATGTCCTTGGTGCAGGTTAACCTACTGATTGATATGTTAAGAAAGTTACTTGATTGTTATATAAATATGCTAAGGAAATTGCTGTAGGGAAAGAAAGTGTTTACTAAAAACAGGCTTTTGTTGGTGGACCGACTTAACTTTTTACTAATTGCATTATGGAATGTCACTTTGTTATTTCACTGATGTTACCAGCTTCTACTGTTAAACTATACTTAACCATAACTCCACCTATGTTCCTTTCCTGTAACTTTCTGGCCTGGAGAATAAATACTGAGAAAGAACCCCAGCTCAGTGTTAATTTTTCAAGGAGGAATGCCTCTCTCTTGAGGGTTCCTGGAAATTAACCCCTTCGGGGCTTCTCACTGTTCAGAAGAAATGGGCTTTGAGTAATCCTTTGTGTCTCCATCACCCAGGGGGAGAGAGGTGACAATCACCCCTTTACAGAAAGGAAACAGAGCCTGCACTCCTGACCACTGCACTGCTCCTCACCTTCCCTTCCCATCTCTCCCTGTCCAAGTCTTCCCTCCTCAGCACCTGTCCACCATGCACATGTGCGCCATCCCCAACCCCAGCCCTAAACTCAGGTCTGGCCAGAGCAGAAGAACGGCCTCTAAGCCTGAAGGAGGGAAGGGACATGTGTGGTTTCCAAGGGGAGGGCAGACCCTGCTGCTGCTCTGTTTTAGAAGCCTCTGTCCAAAAGAGCATCAGTGACAAACCCTGGGGCTTCTGTGTAGGAAAGAACTGGTTCCTGTGGCTTGCCCCTGCCAGCTGCTGGTGGTGTGGGGGTACTGCAGGCCTTGACCACAGGGCTGGTTTCACCAGGAGACCAGACTGCTGGACACCAGGACTCACCAGAACCAAGACTCTCAGCACCGTCCCTAACACTGTACCTTGTTCCCATTTTGTGCCAGCCACCCTCTCAGTTCCTAACATGAACCAACTCATTAACCCTCCCGACACCACCCGTGAGACACGCCCCATAATTGTCCCAGGGGCCCCACTGAGACAAGTGACCTGCCCAACATCACAGCTAGAAACACTGAAGCCAGCTGCAGAGATCACCCTCTACCATGTGCTTTTCAAGACTAGGCTCTTTTCCCCGTTCTTGGGTGGTCTGTCCACCTTGGTCACCCCAAAAAAGTGCTGTCATCAAATGTCTGAAAGTCAGTTAGGAAGGGCTTGTCAGGGCTGTTGGGAGATAGCTTTAAACCCCAAGCCCCATACCTGTGTCCACCCATGTCCTTCCTATTTCAGGTGTGGATTGTGTAAGTGAGCCCATGGACTTTCAATTTAGTCCCAAGTCAATGACCACAGTTCTTCAAACAACTCCAGCTCTGTCTCCTTCCTGCTCTCAGCCGTGACCCACAGTCTCACCCATCCCTGTTTTGCCTCCTGCACAAATCCCAGTTCCTCCCATGACCCCTCACCAGCTCCCACCCCTGTGGGAGCCCCATCCCCAGAACTGGGGTGCCTCATGGCCCTGCCCTGTCATACTTTCTCTCAGGCCAGATCCATACCCCTACACCCTCACCTAGTTTTTCCTAATCACATCCAAATCTGCCCTGGTCCCCTACCTCCCACCAAGAGCCTGACACCAACCCATGTCAACTGCCCAGTGGCTGCCTTCCAAGGGCTACAATTAAATCAAGAGGCAATCCCCTGGGCCTGGCTCCCGAGCCTGACCCCTAGCAAAGTCAACCTTCTATATGGCTCACAGCTCTACATCTGTGGAGATCACCATGAGGCCAGAGGTGGCCAAGATCCCATCCCACCAATGCTGACCTCTACACAGCCCTGCCCCCTTTACGACAGGACAAGGGTCGTAACCTTGACCCTGGAGAGCAGAGCCTCCATCACAGGGAGAGGTGAGTGGCATGGGCAGTTCATGAGAAGTAGCCCTCAAGGGGAACCCTGGCCAAAGACCCACTGAGGACTCCCCATCTGGCCCTGCAATGTGCCTAAGACTCTGCTACCTCATAGATAGGCACCAAAGAACTTGGTGGAAGCTAGGTAGCAACACGTTCCATCTCCTGGCCAATGTTCCAAGCCAGGACAGCCATGCCACAGACTACCCAACCCTGGAGATCCTAACAGACCTGAACTCCTCCCTACCCAAGGCTGTCCTCAGACACTGCAGCAATGAATCAAATACCTGGCACCAGCACAGTCCCAACATAGCTGCTCCTGGGCCCAGGAGGCTGCTCAACACTCACGCTGATAATGCTGCAACAGCCGGTGAGTCCGCACGTCCCACACCTTCACTGTGTTGTCCATGCCAGCAGCAGCAATGCATGTACCACTGGGGTGAAAGTCCACGTAGGTGACAAAGCTGGAAAGACAGGGGCCACCATGCGCTACAAGAGGTCTGTCCTGGCTCAGTGCTTTCCCATCCCTGTGCTCATGCTGTTCCCTCAAGCCAGAACACCTCCTTTCTGCCATCTTTCTTTATCAGGTGGCCAACGGAGAGCAAGAAGAAGGTGAAAATAGTGGCCAACAGTGAACTAAGGTGAACTTACCAGGGACCAAGCCCCACCATCAATTTTTAAATATAAGCAGAGAAAGCTGTCTTCAGACCAGGTCAGCTGGGCTACTCCAGGGTTTTCAGAGTTGGAGTAGGTACTCTCACCAGGGCTGGTCACAGGGCAGGTCCTGCCAGTGGTGGCTCAAGTGGGAAGGTCCAGTGGGGCTACAGGGCCAATGACCCACCTATTTCTAGGAGATAGGCCAGGAGCCCTCAATTCACCCATACATGATGCTCAGGCTGGTACATTTCCAGCTCTCAGGAGGAGCCCTTACCCATGATTCCCAGCCTAACTAAGGAAGGCAGAAGCTGGGGTCCATTTAGGAACCTGGAACAGGTGAGTCACTACTCAAATGCAGGCTCCTCCCTCTCTCGATGATGTGGCACAATATGAACAGCCACCACCTGCTGCAAGAACCTGATAAGACTTTCACTTGTAAAGCCATCAATATACATAACATACAAAGAAGCTTTAAAATGCAGATTGGGGACTGAGCTCAGCTGCTCACAAACATACAGGTGGTAATTCTGAGAACCGAAGAGTGAGGGGGGAACTCAGGGTCGCAAAGAATTACATGGCTTGAGGTTACACACTACAGTTACTTGTCGGATGGGGCTGGGGCTGAACCTTCCACCGTACAGGAAAAGATGCAGAGCTTGGTTGCTGGTTCTTGCAAAAGGCACCAGACAAGAAACAGCTGGGGGGGGAAAAAAAAAGGAGCAGCAGAGATGTGGCTGCTGGCTCCCATAGTTCCAACCATTGAAGGCCACTGGGCCTCCTTGTGCTCTGGTCAGTGCTCTGTGCTTGAATGCCTGCAGGTGGAGGACAGCATCCAGGGACTCACCTGCCATGCTCGCAGTATGAATGGACACACTCGCGGCTGGTCCTATCCCACAGCTTGACAGTCTTGTCATCACCGGCAGACACGATGAGCCGCCCATCAGGGGAGAACCTGAACCAGATAAGGCACAAGTCACAACACAAATTAACAGATATCATGGGTGCCATATGACATCTTCCACACCACCTTTCCCTGCATGCCTACCACCTTTCCCTGCATGCCTACCACCTGACTCCCGAACTCCCCAGGGTTACATGCCCGGCTCTGATCCCCAACATAATTGTGGGCAAGTGGCTTCCCCTCTCTGTGAGATGGATAAGCATGGAGTAGCATAACGCACATAAAGTCCCCGGCACTGCACATGGCATGTGGCAACACACAGCCAGTGCTGAATGGTGGTATTATTAGCATGAAGATGACCAAAAGCTCCCGATCAGTACCATAATCCTATTCCCAGGTCCTTTGTGTCTACATTTGATTCTGAGTATGAATTGGCAAAACACAATCTGCCAACAAAAAAGCATAGAGGTCCTGGGGACCCACCACCAAAGGCCCAGTGTGGACTTCACACCAACAGTTTGCTGACTGAATCCTCCTGTTTTCAGGATCCTGATCGTGAGACCTCTCTGAGCAATCAGGGACTTCCTAGGACAAAGGAATGGGGGTGTCCTGGGAACAAGTAACTTGTATGTGGTCCCCAAAGAAACACAGCTCAACAGCCCCCAACCTCTAACTCCTGTGATTTTCTAGTGTCTCCTGGCCACCCCCAACCCTTTCCTCTGGAGCAAAGAGATTTAACACATGAGAAAGCTCTGTTGAAAGGAATGGAATAAGCTGAAAGTAGACATATCTGTATCTGCAATTCTTGGATCTTGAAAGGTCCTTCAAGTCACCTGGCCCCCATCTGTACAGCACTGCCTCCCACACCAAAGGGAGGGACAACCTCCAGGCCAAGCCCCCTCAGAAGACTGGGCCCCCATCTGGCAGCTCTGGAGCAAAACCAACCTCTGAGGAGTAGAATACCCCAGAGGAAAATAGGCAAGCCTCATCACCAGAGAGACTCGTGTTCAAACCCCAGTTCTGCCACTTAACCACTGTGTGCCCTGGGGCAAGGCACAGCACTGCCTGAGCCTCCATTTCCTCCTCTGCAAAATGGAAATAATACCACCTAGCTTGTAGAAATGTCATGAGGAACAAGAAGAAAATGCATAGTGGAAGTACTGACAGTATCCTGTTATTGTTATTAATACTAATAACTGGCCCCTGTTGACTCGGCTTGTGCTATGTCAGCACAGATGTCAGAGGTGTACCACGGCTGGCAATGGACTAACTTATGTGGCATGCATCAGCTCAGTGAAGCTACTGAACAAATTATAATGCACAAACTGTTACTGTTCCAATTTCACAGATGAGTAAACCGAAGTTCAGTAAGATTGAAAAGTAGCTAAGTAACTTGCCCAAGGTCACAAGCTGGCACCTAGCAGTCCCTCTTGTGCCCCTACCAGCCCCCAGGGTCCAAGGGTCTTCAGACAGGACAATGCTCACTTGGCACAGCGGACCCAGTTGATGTGCTGGCTCAGGGAGAACAGGAATTTCTGGCGATGAGTTGACCACACCTTGACTGTCTTGTCATCAGAGGCCGTCACAAGGGACTGGCCATCACTGCAGAAGTGGACACTCCTCACTGTGGCCGTGTGTGCACGAAACATGGTTGACTCACCTTTGCTACAAGGTCAGGTATCCAGAATCAGGAAATCATAAAAGCAACAACAGCTCTCCCCACCCCTCAGGCACCTTTCCCAAAGTCAGTCCAGGCCTTAGGACCCTAGTTCCCAAAAAAGGACAGAGCCTCCCCTACAGGAGCAGAGCACTGCCCCCAGCCCCCACCCACATGCAAGCTGCATTAGGTAGCATTCCCTCAAGGATAGCTAGGGTCAGCCCAGAATCCCTCTCCCAATCCAGAGGAGAGGGCCCCAACTGAAGCCCCAGCCTCTGATGGTACCTCCTCAGAAGTGGGGTAGATGTCCCACTGTGACCAGTCCAAGGCAGGATGAGGACCTGATGGGAATGGCTAGCACCAAGGCCCCAGACTCTGATAAGCCCCTCAAAGTCTGTAACTCACACATTGGGTACCCAGATGCGGACAGTCTTGTCACGGGAGCCTGAGGCAAGCAAGTGTCCCGAGGGGGAGAAGTTCACACAGGTGACGGCATCCTTGTGGCCCGTGAAGCGATAGGCACGTGACTGGGGCTTCATGTGCCAGACCATGAGGCACGAGTCCATGGAGCCACTGGCTGAGGAGAGTGGGTGATGCTGTGACCCTGGGTTCTAGTGGGCCTTGAGCCTCCTCCAGGACGTGGGGGAGAGGGGCAGGGGGTGGGGGGGAGCAAAATGTCCAGTTCTGCCTTCGCCAGCATCCACAAATGGAGCAGGCCACACCTCTGGTAACTGCGGACCAGAAGTTTGGACAGCCTGTGGCTCAGCAGTTCTCCAAGCAGCAAGTCCACATGGGAACCAGACCGACAGAGGTCCTTCACCAGCAGCCCTGGGCTGCAACCCAGGGCTCTAGGACAACTTCCCATGGGCCCCGAGTTCCCGCACAGACACACCCTGAGGGCACTAGAGAGCAAATCCTCCTGACATGGGGAACCAGCCCAACCCAACGGGCCTTTTACCACTGAGAGGCCAACTCAATAAGAAGCCCAGAGTAGGTCACCAAAACAGATCCAATACAGCATACCACAAGGCCAGCAGCCTCTGGGCAGGGGGCCTAATGATAGGATGAAGGAGTGAGCCTCATCTATGGGAACAAGAAAGCCGCAGCCATGAAAGTTGTGTATGAACCCCCATTCAACCAAGGAAGTGGGGGAGGGCACTCAGCTGCAGCACAAAGGCAGTGGGGTGAGGAGGGGCCCCCAGCTCTGCTCAACATCCTCACTGGTAAGCCTTTTCAACAAGAAGGTGTGCCATATTACTGTGGGCAACACACTGGATAAAGATTCAAGGAAAAGGAGCCACTACTTAGGGCCCATTGCACAGGACAGACCCAAGAGGTGGCTGAGGGTGTGCAGGGAAAAGCCCAAACCCCAGTCCCACCCTCAAAGGCTGTGTGACCTTGGCAAGGTCCCCTAACCTCTCTGAGCCTCAAACTCTTTGCATATAAAATGGATCTCATAAAACCCAGCACCCAGAGAATTGGCAGGTGGAAGCAAGATGCAGGTCTAGACAAAGCTGTCCTGCCCTTGCCGTACTCCGTTCCCCCCACACCGCACCTCCCAGGTAGAAACTTATCCTTCTCAGCTCATAATCTAGTGCCTAGACAAGATGCCTCCTCTTACCCAGCTGCTTCGTATTGAGACTGAAGTCCACACAGGTAACTGCATCTCGGTGGCCCTTAAAATGCCTCTCCAGCGAGGGGTCCTCCTGGGAGAGAGCCAGGGTCAAATGTGTAAAGCCTGAGTGAGGAGTGGGCTTCCCCAGGGCCAAGATCTTCCTACAATAGTCAGGAGAGGTTAAAAATGCTCAGGGCATGACCTTGTATATAGAAAATCCTAAGGAATCCACTAAAAACTATCAGAACTAATAAATGAGTTCAGCAAGTTTACAAGATACAAAAATCAATTGTATTTCTGTACAGTAACAATGAACAACCCAAACAATAAACAAAAATAATTCAATTTATGATACATAAAAAATACTTAGGAATAATTTAACAAAAGTGCAAGACTTGTACAATGAAAACTACAAAACATCACTGAAAGAAACTAAAGAGGACATTAAAAATGGAAAGGCATCCCACGTTCATGAATTGGAAGACTTAATACTGTTAAGATGAAGGGGCCAGCCCGGTGGCGCACTGCTACAGTGCGCCGCTTGGGAGCGCGATGGCGCTCCCGCCGAGGGTTCAGATCCCACATACAGACCGGTTCCCGCTCACTGGCTGAGTGAGGTGTGGGAGCAATACCGAGGGTTGCGATCCCGTTGCTGGTCCCGGTCCGGTACGGGCGCGACACTGAGGGTTGCGATCCGTTGCCGGACACGAAAAAAAGACAAAAAGGAAAAAAAAAAGATGCAGTACTCCCCAAATCGAACTACAGTTTCAGCATAATTCCTATCAAAATCCCAAGTGCTGTTTTTGCGGATTGACAAGCTGATCCTTAAATTCACATGAAAATGCAAGAAACCCAGAAAAAACCCAAAACAATATTTTAAAAGAACAACAAAAAACAGCCATTGTGGAAAACAGTTTGGCAGTTCCTCAAAAAGTTAAACATAGAGTTAGTAAATGATCCAGCAATTTTAGGTAAATACTCAAAAGAATGGAAAACATGGTTCACACAAAAACTTGTACACAGATGTTCACAGCAGCATTAAAAACAGCCAAAAAGCAAACAAACCCAAGTGTCCCTCAACAGATAATGGATAAACCAAATGTGGTATATCCATACAATGGAATATTATTCAGCCATAAAAAGGAGTGCAGTACTGATACATGCTGCAGCATGGATGAACATTTAAAACATTATGCTAAGTGAAAGAAGCCAGACATGAAAGGCCATATTTTGTCTGGTTACACTTATATGAAATGTCCAGAATAGTCAAATCTATAGAGACAAAAAGTAGATTAGTGATTGCCAGGGGTTAGGGAGGGAAGGAGGGGCAGTAGGAAGAAGGGGAGTGACTATTATTGAGTATGGGATTTCTCTCTAGGATGATGAAAATGTTCTGGAATTAGATAGTGATGATGATTTCATAACACTGTGAATGTACTAAAAACCACTGAATTGGGCACTTTAAAAGGTGAATTTTGGGGCCGGCCCAGTGGCGCACTGCTATAGTGTGCCCGGCGCTCCCGCCGAGGGTTCAGATCCCACATACAGACCGCCGCTCACTGGCTGAGTGAGGTGCGGGCGCAACACCGAGGGTTGCGATCCCGTTGCCGGTCAAAAAAAAAAAAAAAAAAAAAAAAGGGGAATTTTATGGTATGTGACAATGAACAACCCAATAAAATTTTTTTAACCCAAAAAGAAAATCAGGGCCTTTCAGCACCAGTCTCAGGAATCAGATCCACCCCTCAATCTCACCACTGACTGGCCAGTGAACCCAAAGGTCAGCCGTGGACAGGCCCCCAGTGGTATCACCACCATCTCCTCTACCCAACATCAGAGAAACAGCAGGACCATTCAGGGTACTGCTTAGGAAGACATCAGAAAGAATATTTCAGATTCTATCCACCCAACAGCAGCTTGTGTCTTAGCACTTGAAGGGTTTTACCTCAGCCATCCAAACATCTCCCCCCACCCCAAACATCAGAAACCTCAAAGAAGCATTTTAGGTGCTCCAGGGAGCCCAGCAAAGGCTTCTCTTGGGAAAGAGTGTTCTTGGGGCAAGGCAAGGCCACTGTTACCCCACAGAGCCATAACCAGAACAAAGGACCCACAACCCTCCAACACATCTGCCTTAGTCTCCCTTTCAACAAGGGGAGTGGCAGTTGGAGGCAGGCCCCCAACAGACCAGCAATTGTCCCATTCAGCCTCCTCCACTCTCTCACTCTGAGCCTCTCAGAAGAACAAGGGTAAGATAGTGCCCACCTCTAGCCTCAGTGGGCAGAGGCAAGTTCAGGTCCACCACCAACCATAGGGTCCTCTGAAATCTCCCAACACCCTCTCCCCCTCTGTAGGTCCCTCCATGTGGGCTCACCTCCCCCAAGGGGGGGTTATATATTGAGGGGGAGGGAGGGATGTAGGAAGAGCACCAGATTAGGGGACAAAAGATCTGGATCTTAATCTGGACCCTCCGCCCACGTCCTCAGATACCTAAGTAGGCCACAAACTACCGCCCTGCCAGAGGGCAAGGCCCATTCGAAGCAACCTCTCAAAACAAGCTTCGGAGTGCTCCTCTCTGGCGTCTGGAGGAGCCTGGGACTCGAGAGGGCGGCCTGGCCCTGGTGACAACACAAGTCTGGGCTGTCCCAGGTATCCCAGTGGGAACAGCAGTTCCCACGAGTTGGAGCGGGTTGTAGCCTCAACAAGACCCCATCCAGCCACCCACTGCTCAGGACAGGAGACAAGCTAGAGAGACCGACACCTATCCCAGGTGACCTCCTGAATCGAGCCATGCTTGCGTCTCCCTCGCTAAGATGCAAATTTGTTTACTTGCCCCCGTATCGTGCCAGAGGGCCTGGCATGCAGAAGGCGCTGAGTAAGTGCCCCAACCTAGCGCCCCCTACACAGACGGTAAACTGAAGCTGGAGAGAAACGCCCCGTAGCCCGGCGCCCCACCCGCCCCTCTCGCAACCATCGCTCTAGCTGGCCAAGCGCCAACTGTCCCAGCGGAGAAACTAAGCCCTAGCGGCCGCTGCCGACAAGGACTTACCGGGCAGGGAGCTGCCATGGCGGGGCTGGAGGCGCCACAGGCGCGGGATGAACCCGAGGCAGGAGGAGCGGCCGTTGCGGCCTGTTTAGTTTCCGCGCCCCCAGCTGCAGCCAATAGCAACGCAGGTCGCGTCGTCGCGCCCCGCCCACTGCGATTAAAGGAGAAGCGCCTCAGCTTTTTGCCCCCCGACCGGAAGCAGAGCTGTATGGCCAGCACCACAGCCTCCGCGCCCAGCTCCTCCAGGCCAGGCAACCCACAGATGGCACCACTAAAGGCCTCTGTCCGCCGTCGTTCATTCCTCCTGAGAAATTAAAAAGCCCAAGGCGAGGGGTTCGCCCCATCCGCCGGTCATCCGGCTAACAGGACGGCGAGCGCAGCCTTCTGGGAAATGTAGTTCCGAGCCACCGGTACCCTTGAATCTGGCGGAAGATAGAACTACATTTTCCAAGATGCCCTGAGGGCGGGACGGGTTTTAGCACCCCAAGCGGAAGCGGAGACCACGTGGGTCACTGTGTGTGCGCTGCCTTAAAGCACTGGCTGGGTTTTCCCTCAAGACCCCACTGAGAATCAACCATTCGCTCTCTCAGGAATTCTAAATGGCTCGCCCCTCCGAACGCGCTTAGGACAAGTGTCGATTTAAAAGGACAGGAGTCACTTGGAATCACAACCATGGAGTAGAGAGACTTTAGGTTCGATTCTCAGTTCTCGCCCTGATTCCCTGTGCTATTGAAACAGAGTAAGGCTAGGCCTGTGAACCAAACTGACTCCATTTTCCCTGCAGAGGACACTTTGTTACTTTTCCACTCCTCAGTCATGAGACCCCCAGGGCAAATGATTACCCCATGGGCTGCCCTGACAAAATAGACTAAGATAAGAGAGGAAACAGATATTTACTGAGTTGCAAAACTCCTCCTATAATTGTAAAAGTTACAGATTAATCTTAAGACCCCCTGTAGGAATTCCCACCTGTGCACAAAGCATCAAGGTGACTGCTACAATGACCCTCCTGGGATGACAATGATGAACACCACTGCCTACTGAGCATGCACCCATGATGCAACCAGGAAAAACAGAATGGACCACCTCCAGTGATGCTGGCTTGTACCCCTTAACTCCTTTCCCTATAAAAGACCCTGAACAGCTCCCCTTGAGGGGGGGCTAGTTTTACTGTCGCTACCCGCCTTATGCATAAGTCTAGCTCCTCTGTTAATAAAGCGTTGCTTGCTTTACTGTTGGGTACATCGTTCATTTCTATGACTTTGGTTTTTGGGGGGGGGGTTTTGTCTTTTTCGTGACCGGTAAGGGGATCACAACCCTTGGTGTGGTGTCGCCCGCACCGCGCTCAGCCAGCGAGCACACCAGCCAGTCCTATATAGGATCCGAACCCGCGGTGGGAGCATCGCTGCGCTCCCAGTGCCGCACTCTCCCGAGTGTGCCACGGGGCTGGCCCATCATTTCTATGACTTTGGAATCCGAGAGCCTAATTTAATCACTGGCAAAAATTGGAAAGCTTTGGGCACCAGAGAAGACTCTAGCTGCAAGAGGCAATTGGCCACTGGGACTATTTTGCTCCCATGTCTCTGCTGCTGGTAGATCTCTCCTGGAGTCCCTGGCCTAAATTCTGACACGGCAATGCTTTATTCTTTTTACCTTTCTCTGATTTTCTGAGCCCTCTTCTGCTGTTTGGTTGGATTGTACCCACTACTATGTAGGTGCACCCTGGAGGGCTCCCAGTTATACTTTGTTTCTGATTTTCCAAGCCCTCTTCTGTTCTGTATAGGTGCACCCTGGAGGGCTCCTGGCTATGCTTTGTTTTTCTGATTTAAATCCAGTCGATGCTTTTCTTCTTTATGCTGAAAACAGTGGGGAGAACTGTTTTTATCAATTACTGTTAATGGAATAGGTTGGCCCCGCCAATTGGGACTAAACTAAACTTTACCCCACTGCTCCTCTTTTCTCTTTGTTTGCTTGGTTAGACGTTTAGTTGAGTACCGATAATCTGAATAAACCTTCCAATCCTTGCATAAACTTTTGGACTTTCAGGTCATTTGTTTAATGCGAGAGGGCAAGCTGAGCCTGCCCTGTCGGTAACACAATTTCAGGAAAAACGCC